AGGTGAGAATGCAGAGGAGGTGACAGAGGCCCTCGAGAGGGGAAGATATGTATGTCACCCACAGAGAAATGGGCAACGGGGCAGAGACCACACAGAGAGCCGAGAGGGGGCGAGGAGGCAGCGGGAGGGGTGGCAGAGAGATCACAGGATGACAACGGGGAGGGAAACCGAGGGAAGTGAATTAGGACAAAAGCTACCTCTGAAGATTCCCACCCACCCACTCCCCCGCCTGGCTGTCACTCGGGAATCCCAGCTCTCCCCAGCCCCCTTTTCTCTACTGCAGACCATTTTAGGCCTGGAATCTGGTGCAGCGGCCTCATGGGAGCCACGCATCAAAGCAGCCTTTTCGAAAGACAGCCTGAAAATCTGGGACTGGTCAGAGCCCTCAAGGGGTCGGGAGGATCACACACACTCGGCCACAGAGGACCAGGGAACCCAGATTCAATCTGTCATGGGACCTCAAGCGAGCCCGGCTTCATTCCCAGACTGGGTTTCGTTCCCTGTAAAATGGAGAGCTCCCTCAAGAGGCTTCAGGGATGGGGAATCCATCCAGCAGGCACTTTATTCATCACTTACTGCATGCTGGCTGTGTATCAGCTGCAGAAGAACAAGCCACCAAGAGAAAATGGCTGGCCTTTGTATGCCCGCCTCTCGCAGGGGCACAATTAGAGTGCTGACGAGTTAAATATCACCATCACCTGCCCCCTTCACGCTACAGAAGGGGAACTAAGGCCAGAAAAGGGGCGGGGTTAACAGCCCCAGCACCCACACATCCGAGGCCAGTAAGTTGTTTGTCTTCTGGTTTTTGTGGGGGGTGGGGGGGTGGCGGCGTGTTATACTGGGATCAGAACACAGGACCTGGTGCATTCCAGGCAAACACTGCAGCACCGAGCTACATCCTCACGCCCACTATCCAGCCCACACTACCCTTTTTCTCTTTTGGAAACGGGGAATCTCACTATGTAGCCCTGGCTGCCTCGAACTGGTTAAGCGGACCAGGCTGGCTTGGAACTCACAGAGATCCACCTGCCTCCGCCTCCGAGCGCTGTGACCGAAGGTGTGCACCACCACCGCCGCCACCACCACCGGTGGCTCAATTCACCCTTTTTCAAGTACACACTGCGAGGGGCGAGCAACTGCAACTCGCACTACAGTGCAGACACAGGGCATCCACGGAGTTCCCAACAGCGCTTATGTGCGCCACACCACGTATCCAAGTCTTCCCCACACCCCACAGGACAACCTCCATCCAGCCTTCTCTCACCTGGCGCTGCTCAGAGGGGGGCGGGGGGGAGGGAAACGGCCTGGCGGGAGGCCGAGGTCCCCAGAGAAACCCGATGCTACCTTTCCCCTCCCCTCAGCGCTGAGTCAAGCGTCCAAAAAGGACCCAAGCATCAGTTTCCACTTTCCCAAGGTGAGACGCCCCCGCTGTTAGATGCGGGGAAATCTGCCCCGAGCTGTTATTTCCGTCCCACCCACTTGGAAGCCCCTCCCTATGGAGGGGTCTGGGGTGCAGTCACCGTACTCAGCCAACAAGAGCGCGGAAGGGAGTCCCTGGCACAAAGGACCGGGAACAGAGAAAGGGGGAACCGTGGTCACCAGGACTTACCAATACAAGACTCGAACAGCGAGCGCCATGGCTCCAGATCGCATCCCCGCACAGAGCGAGGACCCGACCGCAGAGCAACAAGGACCTCGAGGTCTGCGCGTGGGGCCGTGCGCACAGCCCTACTCCCTCTAGAGGCGGAGCAGACCAAGTGCACGCGCGGGGTGGGGGGAGCAGGGTAGCGCGGAGACCGAGGCTCCAGGACACGGCGAGGGCTGTGACCACGGACGCGACCCCCCACGCGGAAGTCCATGCTGTTCCCGTGATATCCCGGGGTTGTCTCCATAGACGGCGTCTCTGGGACGAGTCACCTCCGCGCCCTTGGCTGTCCCTTCTCCGTGCTAGAATGGTTCAGACCGCAGGGCGGTGGCTCGAGGCAGAGAATTCGCTGAGACTGAAGTTCAGTTGCAGAGTGGCTGGGAGGGGCTGCGCCGGGAAATTGAGGCACACGACGCATGCGCCCCATCCTCCTTGAGGGGACCGGCAATTGGGGTGGGGTCTCCAGCCCTGACTGATTCTGGGTAGATGAACCCTCGGTCTGAAAAAGTGAAGCTGGGAGTCCTAGCGTGCACTTCGGGCCCAGCTGTCTCATTTCAGCCTGGCGGCTGGACCCCAGCGAAACCCCCAAAAGTGTGCAGCCTCTCTTTTTGCGCCTCCGCGCAGAAAGGGTACATAGAAAGTTTTGGAACGGAGCGTGGGCTGTAGCTCAGTTAGTAGAGTACTTTCCTAGCAGGAAGCCCTGTCCTCAGGACCACATAAGCTGCTGGCGGTGGCACAAGCCTGTAATCCCAGAATTTGGGAAGAGGAGAGTGAAGGGTTATGAGTTCAAGGTTATCCTTGCTAGTCTAGGCTGCGCGAGCAGTTGTCTAAAAGAGTTGCCTTTAATCCCAGCAGCCGAGAAATCTCTGTAAGTTCGAGGCCAGCCTAGGCTACATAGAGTTCCAGGACAGACAGGTCTACATAGAGAGACTGGCTCAAAAAACAAACAAAAAAATAACTGTGAAAGTGGACGACCTGATTTAAGGGTTTCGGACTCTTGAGCCTCAGTTTCTCCTAATGGAAGCTGGGCATATTCCCTCGCAGGAGATATTTGTTCACACAGAAATTATGTATTGCTCTCTAGTTTCTTGTCCTCCACACCCTATGGTTGCACATCCCCATACCCCTATAATCCCTCCCCTCCCAAGGGTGGCTCATCAGGAGAGATCTTCATCTCACGCCTGACACCCTCTAACTTACAGTCACTAGTTACCCCCACCAATGGCCAACTCGGGTCCAAAGAAGGAAACGTCAGTCTCCTTCACCTGCCTCCCTTCGTCACCTAGCCTGCATGCGGGTGGTGGGCTTCGGTTCTCCCACGGAAGAATGAAATTTGAATCATTCATTTCCCCCTCGACCTCACAGGAGTGAGTTGGCAACAGAGGATTTCTTATGGCGTAAGAAAAATACACTTCCCTAAAAGGATGGTGTGTTCATGCACTCAGACTCCTGGAAAGACTCCGGAATCTGCTGTGTGTGCTGGGGAGAACTCAATAAAGATAACCAGAAACCTTCCTCTGTCCTCACTGGGCATCTCTGGCAGGCTAATTGCAGTGTCCCGTCCTCTCTGTCTACAGAGCGTGGACCTGTGATCACAGTCTGAGAAGGAATAATGATCCGGTCTTGGAGAACGATGAACATAGTCGAGTGTGAATTTTCATAGCTCGAATTCTCCTGTGGTTCCCGATATCCTTGAGACAACATCCCAAACCTTAGCATGCCCCATCCCATGGTACTTTGGCCTGTAGGGCCCCTCTGGCCCTTTCTCCCAATGCCCCAGTGACAGGGGCCACTGAGGTTCTAGCAGGGGACCTCAGCCACATTCTTGTCTCAGGGCCATTGCTGGTTTAACCCTCTCACTCCTGATTCCTGCTTTTCCTCCAAGAATCACCTACAACATGGAGGGGAAACAGTTCCTTCTGGAAAAGTCTGCCTTGTGTACAACGCAGCTGGACCTATTTATTTGCCCTTACAAAGTGCCTCAACCCCAGTGGCTTAAATCACAGACATGCCTCTTCTCACACCCCTGGAGGCCAGAAACCTGAGATCAGGGTAACTGCGGGGCTGGTTACATGCAGGACTGGAGGGAAAACTCTGACCCTTACCAGTCAGTATCCATCTTTGGAGCTGCTTGGCTATGGGAGAGTTATTTGCCAGCTAAGGGATTAGTTGGGTGGTTAACAGTAAAAGATATGCGCCATCACTTCTGGCTAGCAAATTCTTTAAGGTAAAAAAATTACTTTAAGGCTAGTAAATTCTTTAAAAAAAAAAAAGGCTCATTTAAAAAAAAACTTAATTTAAAATCTTTGCTTAATCTTTGACTTGGTCAGTTGTAAACTACATCCTTTGAGAAATATAACTTCCTAAGCCCCAAAATCATATTCACAGGGGCTAGGGAGATGACTCTTGACTCCGTGGGTAAAGTGCTCTACATATGAGCATGAGGGTCCTGAGTTCGACCCCCAGTGATGACACAAAAGCTAAGACCTGTGTGGCACCTGTATACGCTCAGCACTGGAGAGGCAGGACAAACAGACAGCCCTGGAGTTAGCTGGCCACCCAGCCTAGGCAAATCTAAAACTCTTCGATTCAGTGGGAGACCCTCTCTCACAAAAAGATTGGGGTGGGGCCTGCAAAGTAGCAAAGTGGCAGAGCACTTGCCCAGCATGCAACTGGTCCTGGTTCAATCCCCAACACCCCCAAAAACCCGAACCAACAATATGGTGGAGAGTAACTGAGAAAGACACCTGACATTGACCTTTGATCTATACACACAAAACATACACAGACATACACACACACACATGCAGGCACACTCAATGAGTACACACATACACAAGTCGTATAATAGGTGTTATTAAAGACATTTAGTTCTGTTCTTTTTCTATTTTTTATTTATTTGTTTATGTATTTATTCATTTATCCGTTTGTTTGTTTTTCGAGATAGGGTTTCTCTGTGTAGCCCTGGCTGTCCTGGAACTCCCTCGGTAGACCAGACTGGTCTCGAACTCACAGAGATCCCCCTGCCTCCTGAGTACTACCACTGCCCAGACATTTTTTTCTATTTTTTAACGACAGGGTCTGCCAGGCGGTGGTGGTGTACGCCTTTAATCCCAGCACTCGGGAGGCAGAGGCAGGCGGATCTCTGTGAGTTCGAGGCCTGCCTGGTCTACAGAGTGTGTTCCAGGACAGTCTCCAAAGCTACACAGAGAAACCCTGTCTCGGGGAAAAAAAAAAAAAAAAAGGAAAGGGTCTCATAAACTGGGCATGGTGGCACACATCTTTAATCCCAGCACTCAAGAAGCAGAGAGGCAAGCAGATCTCTGTGAGGTCCAGACTAGCCTGGGCTACATAGTGAAACCCTGTCTTGAAGAAATAAAAAACAAGGGCTGGAGAGATGGCTCAGTGGTTAAGAGGACCTGCATTCAGTTTCCAGAACCACTTCTGGCATCCCACAACTGCCTGTAACTCCAACTCCAGGGGTCTCTGACACCTCTGCCAGGCAGGAAACCTGCACTCACAGCCACATAGCCACAGTATACATATGCATAGCTAAACATAACACAATTTGCTGTGGGATGCCTTTCCGTAAGCTGTGAATATGTGCTGCTCTGATTGGTTAATAAATAAAGCTGCATTGGCCTATGGCGGGGCAGGATGGAGCCAGGCGGGAAAATCCAAGAGAGAGAGTGAGAGGAGAAAGGAGAGTGGGGGGAGATGCCGAACTGCGGCCCAAAGAACAACATGTAATGGGATGCAGGTAAAGCTACGGAACACGTGGTGATACACAGATTAATAGTTATGACTTAGGTTATAAGAGCTAGCTGGTAAGAAGCCTGAGCCATAGGCCATAGAATTTGCAATTAATATTAAGCCTCTGAGTGATTATCTTATACGTAGCTGCAGGACCGGGCAGACCAGAGAAAGAAGGGACCGAGAGGCTGGATGGGACCAGAGAAACTTACAGCTGCAAAAATAAATCTTTAAAAGTTTTCCAATCTTAAAACAAAACCTTCATTCCTACAACCTGGTCCTCACACAGCCACCAGAGGGCACCAGGTCACGCTGGCCACGGCCTGCGCTCTCTCTGCTGGCACAGCCCTCAGGAAGGGCCACCAACCTCAGTACGATCTGGTCTCTTATCTCTGATGTCATCCCCCACCTATTCCCTCCTCACCCTGCTGAAGCCGCATGGGAATCTTGTTTTTGTTTGTTTGTTTGGTTGGTTGGTTGGGTTTTTTTTTGTTTTTGTTTTTGTTTTTTTTTTTTTGTTTGTTTGTTTTGTTGTTTTTTTTTTTTTTGGTTTTTCAAGACAGGGTTTCTCTTTGTGCCTTTCCTGGAACTTGCTTTGGAGACCAGGCTGGCCTCGAACTCACAGAGATCTGCCTGCCTCTGCCTCCCGAGTGCTGGGATTAAGGGCGTGCGCCACCACTGCCCGGCTGTTTTTGGTTTTTTGAGACAGGGTTTCTCTGTGTAACCACCATGGCTATCCTGGAACTCGCTTTGTAGACTAGGGTGGCATCTAACTCATAGAGCTCTGCCTCTGCCTCTGGAGAGTGCTGGGATTAAAGGTGTATGCCACCACCGCCCTGCCAATAAATAAATCTTTTTTTTTTTTTTTAAAAAAAAAAAAAAAGCAGCCGGGCGGTGGCGGCGGCGCACGCCTTTAATCCCAGCACTCAGGAGGCAGAGCCAGGCGGATCTCTGTGAGTTCGAGGCCAGCCTGGGCTACCAAGTGAGTTCCAGGAAAGGCCCAAAGCTACACAGAAGAAACCCTGTCTCAAAAAAACCAAAAAAAAAAAAAAAAAAAAAAAAAAAAAAGCAAGGTTGGGAACATGGAAGATCAGCTGGTGTCTGAGATACCCAAGCTGATCAGACAGATCAGAGAAAGGACAGGATTCTGGGAAGAACATCAAATCAAGTCTGACAGGCTCCCACTGGGTCCCAAAGAGCCCTCCAGAGGACCATACACAAGACACCATTGCCTTTTCCCCAATAAGCTTCTCAACCAGAATGTCTTCTAGCACTTTATGATCTTTCTTTTCTCTCACCGATTGATTTAGAAACAGGGTCTTGCTATGTGGCCCAGGTTAGACCATGAGC